ATTTTTTCGACGACATGCGGTTTAAGGATCCTTGACAAAATAGCTTTATCAGTTGGTTTTGGACTATAACTTCATCTTCCAGAAGTTTCAGAAACGTCGATTCGTCCGTAATACGAAACTCGGGCTAACAAAATGGTGAGAAAATTTGAAAAAATTCGAAAAATAAAGAGTGATAATTCTGAATGAAAGTTATATTACTGGAATCGGATTGCCTTCAGGTATCCCAAAATGTAGGTCAAATTTCAAAATTTTCAAAAATTACAAAAATTGTTTACTAATCAACGTATTTTCAAAATTCGAACGACAAAAGCCATAGATGAATGTTCGAAATTGAAAAATGTGAGATAGCCATTGTCTCGGAAAAGATTCAGGGTTTCCAAAAATGTGAATTGTTTTAAAATAGGTAAAGAATTGGCGAAACCACGGCCAATTTTTGATTTATTGCTACCGTTCAAAATTCAGCCACTTCCGGTCTGTGCAGAAGTTTCAAAAATACTTTATCAAGTAACCACCACATGGTTTCCCGACTTTTTTTCAAAAATCGTGGCCCTTTTGGACCATTTATACTATATTGAGGCTTTTAAATATGGATTCACACCATAGACCATCGTTAGGACTCTAAGTAACAGAAGTTTATGAAAGGAAATAAGAGAAGTTTTCGAAATAAAAGCGTCTGAATAGGCTCCAAAAACAAAAATAATAGATTTTCAGCGTTCCATTATATATTGCCTAACCCGCGAATTTTTACCATTTAGATGTCATAAGATCGTCCATTGTTCGAACTATCTATCCAATGACACTTTAGTTGTTTTGATTCGGTGAAATCTGGCGTAGTAATCACTTTTTTCGCAAGATCACCATTTTTTTTACTTTTTATGTTTTTTTTCTCAAAATATCGGAACTTTTTTCGACTACTTCCGGTTTTTGGATCATTGTCGGGATAGCATTAACAAGTTGTCTGGTTACCTTACCTTCTGTACAAGAAGTTTCAGAATAATCCATTCAGCTGTTTTCCAAAGAAAGAAAATTAGAAAATCATTTTCAGTAATTTAAGGATTTTTCAACTTTTTTCAAAGATTGAGGCTCTTTTTGGACAACTTATGTTATTTCATTGCTTTTATTTTTGGACTCACGCCACAGCCCACCCATAGGACTCGGAGTAAAAAAATTTAAGAAAAAACGTAGTTGTTGTGTTTGAGAAAAAGGCCTCTCAAAATGCTCCAAAACAGAAAATACTAGATTTTCGGCGTACCATAATTTGTTTTCTAGCCATCTAAATCGTATCATTCACATGTCATATGATAGTCCATTAATGGGGCTATCCAGCGACACTTTAGTTCTTTTGGTCTGCTAAGATCTGATGGAGAAATCAAGTTTTTCGCACGAGCGCTAATTTTTTTTAACCTTTTTCTTCATTTTTTGAATACGTCCGGTATATAGATTATTGTTGGGATAGTTTTAATAACCAATTTGGGCAATTAGATAGCCACAGGGCTCTGTAATGATATATTAAATTATCTGATCAGATAAAATGGCCCTGAGAAATCCTATGTTCAAAAGTGCCAAAAATTCAAAAATGTCAAAATATCGAAAATTAAATTTCAATAACTCAATACATATTATACATCGTTAGAATCGTAATTAGGTCAGCTATCTGAATGTGTAACCTTTTTGTAAAAATCTAATTAAATAATAAAATAATATAGCATTTTCCAAAATTTCACGAATTTTCGACTCCAAATCAGAAAATACTTGATTTTCAGCTTGTCATATTTTGCTGCTTGGTCATAGTATCCGTATAAATTGGGCATCATACGACAGGCCATTCCTCGGGCCACTCAACGAAAGCTTAATTCGTTTAATCCATTGATATTGGGCGGAGAAATCAAGTTTTTTCCCAACACACCCATTTTTTGCGTTTTTTTCAAAATATCTATCATTATTTCGACTACTTCCGGTTTCCAGATCGTTGTTGAAATTGCTTTACCAACCGGTCTGACTATATAGCTTTATGTTCCAGTAGTTTCAGAAAACATCAATTGAAGCTTTCAAAAAAATATAAGGGTTATAAAATGGGCAGAAAATCCGAAAAAATTCGAAAAATAAAGGGCGATAACTCTGAATGAAACTTCAGGTATCCAAAAATGTAAGTCAAATTTGAAAATTTTGCAGAATAACAAAAATTGTCTCGTAAACAATGTATTTTCAAAATTCGAACGACAAAAGCCATAGATGAATGTTGGAAATTGAAAAATGTGAGATAGCCATTATTTTGGAAAAGATTCTGGGTTTTCGAAAATGTCATTTGTTTGAAAATAGGTAAAGAATTGACGAAACCACGGCCGAATTTCAATTCCGGAAAAAAGTACAAAATTCGGTCAACTACTTCCTGTTTACGTATCAATTTCTGGATAGTTTTAAAACTTGACGTTGGCCTTTAACTTCCTGTACCAGAAGATTCAGAAACATCCGTTGAGCATTTTTGAATAAAAAGAAAAATAGAAGAGCATTTTCAGTAATTTAACGATTTTTCATTTTTTTTCAAAGTTTGTGGCTCTTTTCGGACCATTTATATCATTTCAAGTCTTTTACATTTGGATGCACACCCTAGACCACAACTCGCTAACCTCTAGATCCAATAGTCAATCTCCATATTAGTCGATAAATTATCAGATTTTCCAGCTTTGTTCTTCCCTTGTGAAAAGTGTAAGGATGATGGATGGCCTGTGTCGATGGATGTTAAACCACATTTCTTCATCAGCCAAGTCGGTATAAGAAATAGATTTTCACGATTAGCTATTATACACGTGAAATAACAATGGTCTGTCATTGCATCAAGTTGCGTAGTCTCCGACACCCACAACCCCCTAATCTTCAACGTACAGGAGGACTGGTACCAATTCTGAACCTGATGGTGAGAAGGACCAGTGTACTAATTTTAGTCAGTGTACTAATTCTGATAGGGAGAAGGGTCTATTTACCAATGCTGATAAGTGTACTAATTCTGATTAGGAGAAGGATCTATTTACTAATGCTGATAAGTGTACTAATTCTGATGAGGAGAAGGATCTATTTACTAATGCTAGTAAGTGTACTAATTCTGATGGCGAGAAGGATCTATTTAATAATTCTGAGTCTGATGGTGAGAAGGACCTATTTAATAATTCTGAGTCTGATGGTGAGAAGGAAAGGTGTAATTCTGATGGGGAGAAGGATCTATTTTCCAATACTGAAAGTTTACTAATTCTGATTGTGAGAAGGACATATTTACCAATGCTGAATCTGATGGTGAGAAGACTCGCTGTGAATCTGGTGATGACATGCATCAGTGTATTAATTTTAGTCAGTGTACTAATTCTGATGGGGAGAAGGGCCTATTTACAAATGCTGATAATTGTGCCAATTCTGATGGGGAGAAGGGTCTATTTACTAATGATGATCAGTGTACTAAATGTAATCCTGATGGCGAGAGGGATCAGTGTACCAATTCTAATTCTGTTGGTGAGAGGAATTTTGAGCTAGATTCAGAATATTCAAGTGATTATGTAGAGGATTCAGATTTAGAAGACTTTACAGAAGTTGACCCAGATGTTGATAAAGGCTATGTAAAAGAAATAAATAAAGTTTGTGATATTAATATACCAGGCATATACATCAGGAAACACCGTAAATGAAGTAAAAGTTCAAAGGCTCGGTCAACAAAGAAAAAGGAAGGCAATGATAGAGTATATGACAACTACCATGCATGATTATACTGTGGGAAACTGCGACAACATATCAAAACTCATTTGAAAACACATATGTATATACCAGCAGTAAAAGAACTATTCCTTGAGAGGCAACCTGATGTCACAACCATTAGGAAAAAAGGTGACCATGTGTACAATGTGAAAGTTGTAAAAAATGGTTCTGGAGAAATTATTCTCAGTAGAAGACCCTAAAATCTAGACATCTCATTATTTGGACCCTGTCCTAAAAGTCAAGAGTGGGTTCTGCTTAAGAACATTAAAGGCCATTACAAGAAATGTGACAAAAAGCGTACTGTTTCAAATAGTCACTTAATTATTCTGTCACAAGTATTGGCAGGCTTCATAAGCACTAAACCTTCTAAACTTATGCTTCAAGAAGTTTTCCCAACAATGTTGAATGATGAAGTTGGCATCATAGCTAAAAATGATCCCTTGATTGTTGCCTTGGGTGAAAGTTGGCTAAGAAGATCAGTTGATAATCGGGAGAAAAGACGATATTACACAAGTCAACACATGCGTCTTTTAGCAAAATTACATATGAATTTAATGGTGGGGAGTGGGGAGAAATCAAAGTGTTTGTCAGATTTTCTTGACACTAAACACTTTGATGATTTGGTTGCTGCAGCCTTGCAGTCTTGTGTTCCACACATGGATGATATCGAAGAATTAAAATTGCCAAGTAATGCCATCAAATTGAAGTATGACATACAAAGAGTGCTAAATGCAAAATGGGCTCTTCTGGTAAAGACAGATCCTCACAGTATGGAGGCAAGAGAAATGCAAACATTAACTGAGCTAATAAATTTAGAATGGGGAGAAAGACTTACTAAAGTGGCAAGAATGGTTCTTGTACGGAAACGTTTTAAAATTAAGAAAGAACTACATATACCTGCTCCTCAGGACATTATGAAGTTGACAAAATATATGGTAGATCAGCTGAAGGAGACACCTTTAGTTTCAGAAAACTATCACCGCCTAGTACAGCTAACACAGACAAGATTGTTGTTATACAACAAGAGACGAAGTGGCGAATTGGATGTTGTCAGGTTTGTAACTTTGTATTCTTGATTTTAATTGCATCAAAGTAAAAGGTTAAGATTTTTAATTTATGATTGGATGCAGATTACTTTAATTGACATTAATCATTGGACTGATGGAAGAGGCTTTAAATTGACATATTGCAGTACTGTAATCAATTAATCAATTGAGGACTTTTTTTTTTCACAGCTTGGAATGTTTTGCTGGAAAGACTAAAGATGTAGATGATCTAGATGAGTCTCTAATTGGAGAGTTGTCAGATGTTGAAAGATATCTGTTGAAGTCGCAGGAAATGTTTGTTGTCCGGGGAAAGGTACATTGTTAAAAATCTCATTAGTGACTGATATTCAAATATATGTTTAAGTTTAGCTGAAGTTATTTTAATAAAAAAAAAAGGGTGGACTTGTTAGTCTCATACAAACAGAATTGTTACCTTTATGTGCAGATTTTATCACATGGTCTGTCATTGAGTCAAGTGATCCCACTCACAGGATTTTCTCTCGGTCCTCCAGTTTCGTCCTGAGAAAACTTAATCATTGAAATTAAACCATGTGGTCCCAAAATGACCTAGTTTAAGTGGATGGATATTAAACCACCTTTTTTTTCTCTCTCTCTCTCTCTCCTTACAGGGACACAGACCAGTTCTTGTTCTTATACCACCAGATGCAAAGATTCCTGAAGGAAATAAATATCTGTTTCCAAACAAAGGTGAGCTCACTTATCAAAAGAACATGTATCTATTCTGTAAGCAGTTAGTATTTAATTAAGAATCGCCTATATTATGATTGACAAATTCAATCGATCTGTGGGAAGGTATTTTTTTGAAAGAATATTTTTCTCCTGTCATTTGGATTTTGAAATATCAAAAATAAAAGGTAGCAGTTTATATCATTTGCTACCCACACTTGATTAGGGTTTGTCAATCCTGTTGTCAACTGTTATGATGAAGTTTAATCAGAAATGTGGCGAAGAGTGGGGTAACTGGCGATGGTGTTGTTGAATGATCTTGCAAGTGAGCATCCCAGTCAGTTTTTTTTTCTTTTTATTTATCTTTTTCATTTTCTTTAAGCTTCCAGTTACACAAGAGCGTATGACTCTCTGAAGAGAACATGTGATGAATGTTGCCTTGTTGCTCCCGATCGTATCAACAGTGTATCCATGAGGAAGTACACGGCAACCCTTGCACAGGTTAAGGAATTCTTTTTTTTCTGGGCTCAAAATTTGTCAGTTACTTCACGATGAACATTTTCATTTATTTCCATGGCCATAATTCCTTTTGATATTCTGATAATTATGACATTTTTAGCCTTTTATTTTTTAAGCATTAATAAGCCATTTTGAGTGCTTTAGTGAATTTGAACCCTGTACATTTGCCTCTATCTGAAATTTGTGCACTTTCGTTATACGCTTTTTGGTTCAGAACATTGTTGTTGTGTATATGCTTTTAGTTTATTTCAACACATTTCATTACTCATATCTATAGTAACTTGTTTTCTAAATGTGCAGTGATACTTATACATGTATTCTTCATCGTCTCCAAATGGCAATCAAACTGGAAACAAAAAATCTTTTAGCAGATTAGTAATTCCGTATGGGGCAATATTAAATGTAGAAATAAAATGTGTTGTAATTCTATATTCTAGAAGTTGCAACCTAATGTTTTTGTTTGGTTAATTGGAAGTTTTATTGAACATTTTCTTTGTACATGTAGGTGCTAAATCTGGAATCTTGCTAAGTTGAATGGCTTTGTTGCACCTGGGTCACACAGCCAATGTTCACAAGTCTTACTACAGGCATATGTCAGGTCTTGTAGAATGTGTTCAGTTAAGCAAACTGTTTCTTGTTCAAGATCTCAATTTAACCAGTAGGTTTAAGGGGAAAAGTTTGGAAGAGATGGATATTAGAGGTAATACTCATGTTTGATATTTCCAGAACTTCAGGGTTGTGCACAATTCAAGATGCCTTTGTTTTGTGGTTGTTGATCTCCAGTGCCATCATTGATTTTATCCTAGGCCTTAACTGTTGTGGTGTTTGCTCTAGCACTGGGACAAATCACCACATGCTGGTTGTTGTCAGTCCCAAATGATGAATACATGTATGTGACTTGGAAATCGACTTTTATCCAGGCTCATGGGTTTACTCATTTATTGCATATGCAAGAGTATCGATAAAATTTAATTCACGCACTAGCTTCAATATAATCTAACAGGCATTAAATAGAAATAAACCCTCATCCCATTCCATTATCATTTGTGTTGACTTAAAATACTCACCCAAGTTTTCCCCACAGCTCATGACTAAATTTATATTTGTACCTTGTGATATCGATCCAATTTAAGCATGCAGACCTTGCCTTTTTTTGAGGAGACTGATTACACTCCCAACTATACTGCTCTCACACAAGTACACTTTTTGCCCTCCTTGATTATAAAAACAATCCATCTCCTTACTTCAGGGAGAGTAAGGGGAAAAAAAGTGGGGGTAAACGAATTTCAGGGTTCGATGATCCCCATTTTATTTCATTCTGCCACATTTCATTTCGATGACCCTACATTTTGTTTCATGGTGTATGTCGTTTAGGTACACTTAAATAACAAGTTTGCAAAGATAACCACGACAGGAGAATAATTCAAAACAAATATAGTAAACTATTAAAATATTTTGTTTTTTGTATCATATCTTATTGTTTCAGATCTAATCTTCCAAGAAAATGAAGATGTTACAACAGATGGTGATATGTCAATTGTGGATACTGTGGCATCAGAAAACTTTACAGTATCTGACAGACAGTACGTTTTGTTTATGGTTCTAGTTCTAGGTTTATTAAATAATCAAATGTAATGTTATATAGTGCTATATGTGGTCAATATGGGATGTGAATCAAATACTGAAATAGTAGAAGTTCTCACAGGACACTTTCCAATAGTGTGAAACACTAACCTTATTCAAAAAGGATGTGTTCTTTGTTGAATGAGTAGTTTCATTGGAGGGGCAAAGCTAGGGCAAAGTCCAAGGTTAAGGGGGCAAAGGAACAAGCTTTGACTAGGGGTAGGGGGCCTCCCCCAGAAAATTTTGAAAAACAGGTTGCCGGAAATGCAGCCTGGCAGTATTTCAGGCACTGGTCGATGAGGTTAAGTGTCAAACAAACGGACTTGCGAATCATGACGATTCTGTCAGGCATTGATTGTCGAGATAAATAGATCTGACCAGATACCGTCCGTCGCCTGATCACTAGTTTATCCGACTAGAGAACAAAATGTCAAACGAACGGACTTGCGAACCTCAACAAATTCCCCTTGTGAGCGGCAAAGTAGTGAGTCCATTGGGGACCTCCCCACGAAAATTTTGAAAAATAGACTGTCGGAAATGCTCTACAACATGCAAGTTTATGACTGAGTGGGGATGTGGGATTTATTCACCGTAGAAGGTATTGATTACCGAAACGTATCACAAATACTTTCTTTTATTTTCTAAAATTATTGGGGGGTCAAACAGAGGGCAGACCAGATTAATTGGGGGGCAAATGCCCCCCCCCCCTTGCCCCCCCCTGGCGCCGCCACTGACTATGAGAGATGGTATTTATTAAACCAATAGTATTTACCCAATCGTATGCTTACTAATATCAATATCTGGTCACAAAGTTTTAATTTAAATCCAGTTATGTAGTATTAAAAAGAAAAATTCTATTTTAGGGAGTTCGATGAAGCAGCATTCTACCAAAGTTCATCTGGAACAGATGAGAAAGATTTGGAAGAGATTTCAGACAAAGATTCGGAAGAGATACATGTACAAGACAAACGTAAAATAAAAGCAAAAGTAAAACGTACCCTGTGGAATGATACAGAACTATCAGAATTGGAGAAGTATTTTCAGGCCTATTTTAAAACCAAGACATGTCCACGAAAGAAAGCCATCGATTTAGCAAAAAAACAAAGTCGTGCCCGAAAAGGGAAACTTTGGATGAGGTCAAATGACAAAATAGTTAAAAAAATCAGTGCGATGAACCATAAAAAGTAAAGATGGTTAAAGATATAGTTGGTGATCTTTGTTTTTCTTTTTAAGGACAAAAGTTCATACAGATGTCAACCTTGTTTAAGAAAATTATGTAAATCGTGTGAGACTATGTGTACAAATCAAGAAATAACCAGTAAAGACTGTTTATTGTTTAACATGTAAAACCTGTAGAATGCAATATGTAGGCCAAACCATTATTCCATTCAGCACTCGACTTAAAAAGCACAGAAGTAATATAAAGCTTAAAAAACTTTGCCATTCCCCCCATGTAGCCCACCATTTTAATATACCTGGTCATGATTTTGTGTGTACCATATGAACACAGCAGAAAGTCTCTGGATTCATAGACTTGATTCAGTTTGGCCTAACGATTTAATTGAGTTAAATCCAGGGGGTTTCAAAATCATTCATAATCATGCATAATTTTCCTTATTTGTAAAATTTTACCTTTACTATTTATAAGCTAACCTTTGATGTTATGTATCTAATGTTATGTCCATGACATCATCATTCCTATGATGTCATAACTTCCTATGATGCAAAGCCTAAAAGTTGTATAGGGAAGTCACAACAACTCATTTACAGGCGTCATTTTGGGTCCCAACTATGACGCCACAAAAACTTTACTTAACAAAACGTTTTATTTTTTTCTCAGAATAAATATGTCAGATAAAATCATATTCAAAATCAGCCGAATTCGACCAAGGCAAAATGACGTAATTAACATAATTCAAAATGGCGTACTTCAGAAATTATTGGAGAATGATATGTCGTAATCGGTGTCTTTCAGTGGTGGGAGGATAAATAATTTAATTTTAAATTCCTCAAACACAAAGTAGTTTATGCAAGCGATATGTGCTGAAAAATCAAATTTGACAAACATCAATTAAAAAGATGTACAGTAGAACTTGTATTAAGCAAGCACCCAAGGGAAATTTAAAAATGCTTGCTTAATGGAGGTGCTCTTTGACTAGAGGTATCCAATATTGCCCCAACCTCTACCACAAAATATAAAGATATAGATTGCATATATTTTTTTATTCATGTAGTATAACAATAACAATACATGTACTTTTTATCTAGTTTTGAATTCAAAGTAGTCGCGTATATATGTTTGTTTAGTAATACTGGATCTCTGGCTCCCCAATATTTCTTTTACTTTCATCATACTGAATCATAGCGTCTAAAAGCGTTTCAAAATGCTGTGAATTTGAATATTTCCCACCCCAACTATTTTAGCGATTACGCGACCACATAATAAAATCTCGGTGCTTTTTGTGCTGACATAAATTAATTACGCTTGGTGCATTGGGAGCGAACATCAGTACTTGCATCGATAAATTTGACCGTCGCTGAATCTTGCGCCAAACGAAAATTCTTTACTCAAATCTTGAACATAACTTCTGTAAACTTGTCATTTTGTACCAACCTTCGATACCACTGTCTACCATTGTGATGCATTCGATAATATTTATCCATTTTTGTGAAGAAAATCGATGAATTAATTTTATTTTATCAAAAAAGCACATGAACAAAAAACCATCGCTGATTTCATTACCGATTTACAGGGGGGTCTAACTCTGTATGTAATATTATAGGGGGCGCTAAAACGTCTGTTCAACAACCAAAGTGGCTATGGCGCGAATGGAAAAGAGATACTAGATGATCATGACAAAACTCGGTACTTTCTTTTTTTTCAATCAGTATATAATAATGTGTCGTTCTGCGTGAAAACAATGATCAGGTTAGTCGTTTAATAAAACAAAAGATTAATAAACAGATAATCCCGGGTTGATTGTTATTTTTACTTTTCTTTTTACCTGATCAGTGGGGGTCCAGTTAATTAACTACTACTCACGGGATTAGCGGGAGTGTTACAAAGAAAGAACGACAAGATGGTATCATTCAACAATGGCCGTTGAATGGGCGATGTTTTGTGGAATTTTTAAGAGGAGTGACCGTTGAAACAGTAGAATTTTTACGGGGGGAATTAATCGTGATGCCCGTTGCACGCGTTGAACAGGTGCGTGTTTAGTAGAGGTTAAATTACTTCAAAATAGCTCGGGGGTATTTTTTGGTGCTCGTTGAAGCAAGTGTTCGCTGATTAGGAGTGCAAGCCCAAGCAAGTTCTACTGTATTTTTCATTTGATGGCGGGCATTTCTTTCAAAATGGCTGCCAAATTTGGTAATATAATACCATTTAAAAAAAAAACCCAAAACATAAATTTGGTAATAAAAGGGCAGCGATAATCTTTTAAGATAGGGCTTTTGCTGTCTTTTATATGGTCTTTGATGTCTGAATTTAAAGATAAATTTCGAAAATCCAAAATGGCACCAACACAAATTGCACTGAGAAGTAGTAAAGGTGAGATTTGTACGTTTACAGTATAGATTTCGCGCTTTTTAGTAAATTTCTACCAATATCGGTAAAATTCTAATTATCGCAACAAATCTAATACGAAGAGGGTAAAATCTGTAGGTACGGTGTGTTAATTAACAGGGGTGAGAAATTGACTGAAAGGTGATATAATTATCTCCTTCGTACTACAAAATACGCTGTCAAAGTCGAGTACTTACCCGGTAAATCAAATGTCATCGCTGATGCATTGTCACGAGTCGATCCTACTTTCTGTCAGAAGAGAGAGGAAGACTTGCCAGAAATTCAGCTAAATACAATTACCAGCAATATTCTCGCTTCAATCACAACATTAGAGAGAATCAAAACACTCACCAATGAAGATCCAATCTTGAAGACTTTAGCACAAGTCATAAACAATGGATGGCCAAATGAAAGACAAAACTGTCATACAGATCTTACAGAATATTGGACATACAGAGAAGATCTTAGTGTGGAAGATGGTTTAAGAGAGAGAGAGAGAAATGGGGTTTACCGTCCACTCGACACAAACTAGGTCATTTCGGTACTAACATATGGTTTAATTTTATTTCAATAATTCGCTTGCGCGTAGGGGTCTTTAGCAGTGGGAGGAAACCGGAGGACCCGGAGAAAACCCACGAGGTTGGACAGGCGACCCTACTCCTTGTCACGTACAACCGGGAATTCGAAACCACGCGGAAGATGGTTTAATATTCAAATGTCATAGATTAGTTATACCTACCATGTTACGAAAAGACACACCCCGCTTAATCCATCAAGGCCACATGGGTATTGAAAAATGTCTTTTTCGAGCCCGTCAGTCAGTATTTTGGCCTGGAATAACTATAGATATCAAAAACGTCGTTTCGTCATGTGCACTCTGTCAAGCACACCAACGTGCACAATCTAGTGAACCGCTCTTACCTCATAAAATACCAGAATATCCATTCCAAAAGATTGGAACAGACATATTTGATTTTAAACAAAAACACTACCTCATTGTTGTTGACTATTATTCTAAGTTTCCTTTAATCCTGTGTTTAGGATATTACATGTCATCAGAAAGTGTAGTTGCTCATACCAAAGCCATCATTGCGGAATATGGTATACCAGAAGTTATTGTTTCGGATAACGGGCCACAATTCGACAGTGCACTGTATAAATTATTGTGTACAAAATATGACATAAGTCATTGCACAAGCAGTCCAAGATATCCACAGAGCAACGGTCAAGCAGAAAGGTGTATACAAACTGTTAAAAAACTACTCATCAAAGCACTTGAAAGTAATCAAGATCCAAATTTAGCTTTACTTAATTATAGGACGACACCACTGTCTTGTGATTTACCTTCACCAGCCCAATTGTTTTTGGGAAGACAATTTCGCACTTTGCTACCAGTTCAGCGCAAGTTCCTTTATGTATCACAGCCAAGTGACAATGTTCGTGAAACGTTTGATAAGAAGAAACATATACAAAAACATTACTTCGACAAGAGGACATCAAAAAAACCATACCCTGAATTACATATTGGGGATTCGGTCAGAATATTTAACGATCAAACCAATATCTAGGAACCAGCCTTTGTTGTTAATGTTAATCGTGCTCCCAGGTCATATCTTGTTAAAAACTCTAAAGGTGGAAATCGAAAATTTCTCAGAAAATCAGATGTCAACTTTAATTTCAATGAACCAAATATTGATGATATTCCTGATGTAAATGATCAAAAAGTCATAGATAATCAAGTCCAGAATAACCCTAATCCAGAAGCTATAATCCATCAACCAGAGGATATCTGCCAGCAAGATCAAAATCAACCATATAAAACTCACTCTGGAAGAAATGTTATTGTTCCAAAACGTTTAGACTTATAAAGAGACTTGATATTCCATTCAGTGTTTTAGTAAAGTTTTAAAGAGACAATTAGCCAAAGAAATGGTTTACAGTATTTTGTTTATTAATCTAAACAAGGCATATTATTGTACAATAAAAATAGTTATGGTAAAACAATACTAATTTGAACTACATGTACATTTGTTTCAATGTCAGTACAGACATTCAAAGTCTTTAAACTTCTTTCTAAAAGGGGGAGATGTAACAGTATGCCTTTAACATGTTTAATGATAAGACATTCCATTCCAATAAGGGGTTTTCCATGTTACTAAATATAGATATAGGACTATTGAATTATGCGATATAGTCTCCATCTTGTAGCAAGCATGTGTTTTACATCTAGAGAATAAAATATACCTAACCCAACATATAGATGTTATATATATGTATACAAAGAACGTCAACATGTCTTACATGTGTTTTGGGGTTGTTGGGTTCAACTCTGATCGCAAAAATAAATTTTGAGAATTCTTGATTTTAGAAATTAAAAATGGCCGGGAAAATGAAATCCAAAATGGTGAAATTTTAATTAATCGTCATTTTTGTCCCCCGCCTTTCGGGCGGACTAAAGACACCACCTTGAGCCAGACGAAATACTGGCCAGTGGGACTATACATCAGTCGATCTACAAAGCCTACCAAAAATAATTCATGCCTCCTCGTTTTAAAAAAAAACAATGCAGAATCAAGTAAATCATACATGACAAGAAGCTCGGCGACGAAAAAGTGCATTGTTGTAAAGAGCAGTCAGACAAAAGAAGAAGATATGGCGGAAAATAGCGAAAATAAAAACGATTGTAAATCTAGTTATATAACCTCAACACAGATGGAACAAATCACGGAAACGATTCTAAGCAAGTTAAAAAAAGTGGAAGATCTCATAGAAAACAGAGTTTGTACGAAAATGGAAGAACTGAAAGCAGAAATTAGAGGTATTCAGAATAAAATTTTACAGATAAAAGAAGCAGTCAAGAAAAAGGAAATCACAGGAAATGAAGAAAAAAATAAAAAATATTGAA